GTCACAATATGTCTTTTCAGGCAGTTGAAGTTCGATAAAAATAAAAAAAGTAGGTAGTTTGATAGTCTTAGAAAAAGCGTGTTGGAAGAATTATATAATTTCAATTTCATAGAATAACCATTTAATTTAGTGATTTAACTTAGAAATGTGAACTCTTACAATACTTGTACTTACTTACTGATTAGTTTTATTAGAATAAGTAGAATTAGTATATAAATGTAAGTTCGTTATGTATAAATGTACGTGGTTGTATTGCTTTTAGATGCCGAATAAATTAATTAGATAAATTAAATAAATAAATAATTAACTATTAAATAAATTAAATTAAAATTAAATTAACTATTAGGCCAATAATAAATAATACTAACATCGCTGCAGCCTCCCCATTGCCATTTTCGAGCTTTGTTCCTGATTTTTCGGTCGCAGGCGCATTCGTTCAGCTCTCCCTTGGAGCAGGCTCTGGTTACGGCGTACGCTATCGATGCTGATGTGATTGCGTGGACATATGCTGATTCGCGACTATCTGTGGGGAAAAATTAAAATATTAAGGCAAATTGCTGAAACTTTCCATAATAAAAATTAAAATTTTGAAGAAAATTCAATATTTCTTTTAAAACACTGAAAATAATTGATTTTTGAGATTTTTTAAAATTTCTGAAAAAAAATGCCCTTTTTTATGAATTTTTTTTTTTTTTTATATGTACTTTGAAATTATTAGAAACGAAATATAGAAGCACGTGGGCGCAATATAACGAATAAACATTGGTAATTTGATGTGAATATATCTAATGATCATTTTTGCCCGCCAAATGGCATTTTTTATCATTTTTTTGTTGAATCTCCGAAACCGCTAGACCGCTTTCCAAAAATTATATCAGTTCTTCATTTCGCCAATACAAATAAAATATTTTTTAATTACCTTACGGGAAGTTAATAAACAAATATATATGTCTGAATACTAATAATTTTGTATAAATATAAAGTCATATTTATTAAATAATATAAGTGCAATATGCATGATGGGCATCGATAACTAATATAATATAACAATACTATTATATAAAGTTTAATATATTATTTCAACATTATCAATGTAATAAATAACTAGATGTGAAGAAGTTCGAGTAAAAAATCAAGGGATATAGATGTATAGAATTAGTCATTAGACTAACAATAAGAAGTTGCCTTAATCTAATGGTTAACCTTATACATTATATTTCTTTTTCTGGTACCTAGATATGATGAATAATGGCAAATAAGTAAAATTATTTATTATTTTCAGATCGATGTAATGGACATTATTTTATTAAATTTACAAACACATTATTTAAATAAAGTATGGATAAAAAAGAAAGAATAAATAAGGATTAAAATAAAATAAAGCTTAAGCTTTATTTTAACAAAACTATTAATTTATTATTACATCATTACAAACACTATCCGGTAAAAGGAAAATATATACGAAGGTTACAAATTTTCACATGTTGTAAACATCTACAATCTCTTCTCTTGATCCGCATTTTATTACTACCAGTTTTTAGGATAATAACAGGCCATATAAGTACAGACAATACACAGATTTATATATATATATATATATATATATCAATACAATATAGATAGAAATCGAACTACCACCACTATGTAATATTAAATTTTTCTTATATTTATAGTTGGTTTTATGAATACTTCGGCAAGTGTGTCTCAGCGATTTTCATCCAATATTAAATTCTTAGGTTCTGCATCTATAACCTAATATTATATAAAGAGACATGTATATATATATATATATATATATATATATATTAGGATTTATTTAAAAAAAAAATCGACACAAAATTAGTTTAATTTTATATATCCTTTATAAAGCATTTGGTGCGATATTGTAAATGTAAATACTAAAATAAAATTTCAATCTTTTAAATATTTATTCAAATTTAAGTACGTGTGAATCGACATGCTTATGTTTGTAAAGATTTGTTTCCTAAATTTATTTTTAATGTATATTTATACAACCGTTGACAGATCATCATAATGGATGTTTCATTCGTCAGTGAAGTAATTAATAAAATTTAAAATATATATACAGTTTTGAATAACATATGTCACCATAGGCGTACACGTAAATATTGATGAAATGAAATATCAAACAGATAAATCATTGGTAATATAAATTATTGATGATATAGATAGTGCTTATAAATTCAGCATTTCGTAGAAAAAAACATACAACGTAGTAGCATCAGTTGAAGCAAGTCATATATTCAATTTATATAATTTTATTAAATATAATTTATTATATTAAGGTTTGCATAAATTGACCGTGTTCTTTGAACTATTTTGCTAACTTGCATTCCTAATCTGTTATTTTCTTCGGGAGGCAACCCACTGTTTAACCACTCTTCTTTGATATTACTATGTATTATATATTAAATATGTGTTGTCTTGTATGTGATGCAGAAAAGCTCGCAAAAGGCGATTTTCATTTCAGATCTTTAACCACAAGTGAAAAATTGATATCACGCTGCTTGATATCAAGCTTAGCTGAGTTGGGCTAATAAAACTTAAAAAGTTTTACTAATTCTAAATTTATTGACAAAATTTAGCAAATTCTTAGGTTATTGTTTCAAATCCAATAGAATTTCCTTGGATTCTTGAAACGACATTAAAAAATGAAAACATTTTATTTTTCCTATTACATATCATTACAAATTTATGATCACGCAAAATCAAATCATATTCGATTTGTTTGATAAAATATTATTACAATTTTTATAATAAACAAAAAATAAATATTTATCTAGATAGTCTTTTCGACGTAATTTATAAACATATTTGAGATACTACCCTTCTTTTTAATAAACCCCTTTCTAGTTTGAAGGGTTTTTCATACATATCTTTTCTTAATATATATTTTTTTATATATTAATATAATATATTATGGTCTTTCGGTTTATTTAGAAAGAATGTTATTGTTCAAAAAAGTTATTTTCCGAAGAAGGTTTGCTATAAGTTTGCAAATCATTAACGATGCCATTCGTTCAATTGCTTAAATCTTATTACATACTTACATTATAAATTAATCTTTGCAGTATTAATAAACTTAAATATATATTTGTAAATTTTTATATTATTATTAGCTATTAGCATTTGTAAATAAACCAATAAATTATAGTTAGTATTCAATTCAATTAATTTCCTTCTCTCATTTTAAAATCAAAAACTCTTAGGATATGAATTAATTCTGTTTATAAAATTAAATGCAGTGATTGTAATAGTTGCAAAATTAAAAAAAATCTTAATATATTATTAACAGAATATTTAAAACACTTATTTTTTATCATTCTATAAAAAAGAAGATTTGCAGAATCGTGTTTTATTTATTTAAATTCTTCTAATGCTGTAAATATTTTAATTCGACGTATTGGCTTTAATTTTATTATATGTATGTATATATATAGGTATATATATATATATATATATATACAGTAAGCATGGTATTGTGGGTGTTTTACAAAGAGTGATAACAGATTTGATAAAAAACCAGACGTATAAGTCTTATCCTCCTACGCAGACATACCCTAAAATATTCCAGTGTTTGGATCAGAAGGGTTGGAGAAGGCCATGAATTTTTGGATCGGCTTTAGATAAGCATTTTCATGATATCCATATAAAAATTTATTTTATTTCATGATATCCATATAAAAGTTTATTCTATTTATTCTAAAACAGTTAAATTGCTTTCTAATGACTTCCAAAGGACTTAACAAGCACGTCATAATAAGCGGACGTCAAAAACAATTCTTGGATATTGGGGGCGAAATGGTTACTAGTGGTAACTTATTACCGATAAAACTAGATCAAATTATCGATCGATTTTCGCATAATCACTGATTTGCAAGAAATTAAAACCCCAAAATTGTTTTGGAGAGGGAACTGGATTTTTTTTCAAAATTTTTGAAATCTCACTAGATTCGCTAAGCATGACACAGCATAATTCAAAAATCAATGTAAGTATTTTGCTCGGTAATTAAAAAATAAATGAATTAATACAAATCGCAGTAATGATGATCAAAACCTATACCTAATGAATATCAAAATGCGCTAAATCAGTTTCAGATTAGGCTGGTTCTTGCAATGATTAATAATATGCGCCAGGAACATTTATATGTGGCATGCATTGCAATGGGTGAACCACCAATTTAATTGGTTTTAGTTGCCCCTTTTAGTTATACATCACATACTTCTATTCTACATTCTGAATCAGTTAGTTAATTTATATACTATATTTTTTAGAAATATTTCTTCTTACTAAACAGCTATAATATTTATACAGTGTATATTATAGACACACACATACATATATATATATACTATACATATATATATATATATATATATGTGTGTGTGTGTGTGTGTGTGTGTGTGTGTGTGATCTTGCAATATAAGGGCCATATGTTATAAATGCACTATCGAAAATTTTTATTAAACTTTTGGGGTTCATGAACGTGACATAGTTCTGGTTTCACGTATTAGCAGATATTCATAAACTTAAGCGGATATTATAATATATATATATATATGTATATATATATATATATATATATATATATTCATATATATATACGTATATATACACACACATATAATTTATAATATATAATTAATACGTACTTGTATACAATATACAAAAATTTTAATCAACCAAGACTTGCAACAAATTATCCTCAGAATAGCATTATTAAAATAAAATGGCAATATTGTGCTTTTGAATCATTGTAGATTTAAAAACTTATATTAAAATCGTATTAAAATTCTAAATCTTTCAAAAGGTATAATATTTATTCGTTATATTTATTATTTCTTGGTTTCAATATTGATTTTTGCTTATTATTGTTAATTCTAGTGTTTCATCTAATGAATTTGTATGAATCACACCGTGAAACGTGTGATTAATCATAATATATACAAAATATACGCCTTTTTAATTACGAATTTGTTTATGGCCACTATTCTAAAAACTAATTGTTTAATATCGAGCTTTCGCAGCTCGACAAGAAAATACAAACAAAAGTTATTCAAACAAAATATATAGAAATATTTAACATGTTTTGTACTTACTGATGTCTAAGACGTGGCCAAATATATTACTTCGTTCCTTAGACAAATAATCTATCGAATGGTCCTCTTCCGCTAAAGAGCAATTCCATCGGTTATTTCTAAACTGGTGTTGGCATTCTTCTATTCCCAGCTGAGCACCCAGGCTTATTATCTGATAATTAGAATTAAAATTAAATAAATATATTTGAAATTAATAAGATTTCATATCTGATTCGAATGCTCTAAAACTTTAAAAGTTATATTAAAGTAAGATAAAACTATAGTAGGGTGCATGGCATCGTGCCTTAAGGCAAATTGCTAGAACTTCCCGTACCGTAATTAAAAAGCTTGGTACGAAACAAAAAAAAATTACACAAAATGTGCACACATTATTAAAATCTCTATAAAATATCTGATAATTTGATGTACATATGTCCAATAAACATTTATGACCGCCAAATTACATTTGTTTAACTTATTTTTATTGAGTCCATAACCGCTGAACCTGCTTTCCCAAAAATTTAATCAGTTTTTCATTTTGTCTATACAAGTAAAATGTTTTTTGAATTATTAAAACTGGATGCCCCGTCCTCTTAAAAACTGAGTTACCGTTTTTGGCACTTTTTGCCCCGTATCTTCTAAAAGCCTAGATCTTCGTCAAAAAACTAATCAGCACGTCTCCTTATCAATACGAATCGAATGTTTTCTGAATTATTTAAATCGGTTGATCGGTGTTCCTGAAATCGTCGACGAAAATTTGTATCCGCACACACACACACACATACACACAAACATAAACACACGCACACATATACAGCCATTGTTTCTAAGGTATGCCAAAATGTTCGGAAACCTTTGAAACGTAAAGATATATTAAAATTTTGCGATTACTACTATTATTATTACCTACCCTACGGTAAGATAATAATATAATAAATAGAGCACATATATAAAGTACAAATATACAATAAAATATCTGATGGATATACTATGCATAATTTTCATAATAATGCATAGTGTTATATTTAAAGTATTATATTTGAAATTAGGCTATAAAAGATCGAAAGTATATTACAAACTTGCTGCCGTTTAGCTTGTATTTAAATAAATAAATAATACAATAAGCAGATATTATATCTGAGATATAAGGAGAATCATAAGGAGATCATATGTCCCAGATTGACTACAAGAATCCTAGAAATTCACTTTGCTTTCCGGATTTTTCTAGAAGCAATATTTATCCCGGATTCAGGTTATTTGTCCCGGATTTCAAGGATTTTTGAAAAGATTTTTCAAAAATTGGAAGGTGGATTAAAATAAGATCTCTTTTAAACAATTTATAATCATTTTAAAAATATAAAAATAAAAAGAGTAAAATATTACGGAAACTAACTTTTTTACTGCTTGTCAAGAATGATTTAGACAAGTTTTGAGAAAAGATTTGAAATAGACAGACTAAAAAGCAATATTTTTAACTAAAGGTATGAAGAACGGAATTTATTAAAAAAAAGATTTTAATTGTATTTTTAGTTATTTCAAAAAAAAAAAACTATTCCTGAGAGCGACGTGGTGATAGCTGGCGTTTATACTTCATCCTTTGCCTTCTACTTTAAAATAATATCGTTAAAAAAATTATACTTTACGTTTTTGAGATAATGGTTGTAGACCATTAAGCCCTGCTCTACCTTACTTTGAATAACTATTTAATACTTTTCGCAAAATATATCAAATTAATTTTATACATTTCAAAAATTAGATTACAACCTCAAATCTCTCAAAGCTAACAATAATACCTCCATCATTTATGTAAAATCGTACAAAAGATATTTCTCTAAGTTACCTCGTCCACTAACTGGTTTATCATACAAGAATGTATATTAAGAGCTCAATTTAGTTAAAATATTAATTAAATCTTCTATCGTAAATTTCTCGGTCGGTATTTGAACAAAGAAGAGATGCTATTTAATAATTTTGACTCGACGTTTTATTGAGATATCCAAAATTTTATTGCCATAATAACCTGCGTAAGCATTATAATCAAAATTATCTTGGCCGGTGTGGTAGTGTTGGTTTTCTTTGACAACTTTGTATCGTGAGGGAGAGAAAGAATTTAAATGGAAAAGGCTAACATGGGTTTTAAAGCATTTTTATAATGTTTATATAAAATGGCTTAAATAGTAACTGGTGGTGTATGGCATTATGCCTAACAGAAAACAGTTGGCACCTGTTTTGCCTATAAAAATATTTTCTGTTTTAATAACTCCACAGATTTATAGAAACTACGAATAATATAGAAATTATTTCAATGAACTTACGTTTCTCACACGGCACAAATGTTTCATTTGTTTTATTCTTTTCATTATAATTAATTACGGAAGACAGGGTAAAATATTGTTCTGATTCAGGCATTTTTTATTAAATCAAGATTTGTACTACGATGTGCGCCGGTACGCATACAACGAAAGATCTCTATTCACTCGATACGACGACTAATCACAATCAACCCTTATAAAAATGATTTCATCAAAAGCGAATGAAGAACAGAAGAAACGCAACTTCCGTTGCATTTTCACAGATTTACTGCCCAGTCGCGCCTAAAAAAGTTAAACTTAACAAAATCAATCATAGAAAATTTTATTTTATTTGCTTTAATATATTTTAATGATCATTATTCAAAGTTCCAAATTGTTTGTTAAAAACATTTTATTATTTCAATTTCATTTTTTAAACGTGGTACGCGGAACCATTGATTGTATAAAAAGCTTAGTACAATTTTAAAACATTGCTGCCAAAAGCTTTAAATTGATACTCAAAATCAATTACTTATTACTAATTTTAAAGATTATATGCATGTAACGTTTATTGAATAAATATAGATACATTAATTAAAGAAAAACCAATATGAACATTTTTTTACTAAGTTACAAAGCTTAAAACAAAAAAATAGCAATAGAGGTTTTTAGTAAAAGCATAAACATTCCCCCCTCAGGAAGTTAAAAATAAGAACCATTCCCAAAATTCAGGCAATCTGTTCCAAAAAATAGTGAACTTGGATCAAATATTGCTTCTAGAAAAAATTTGGGAATCTTTTACAGAAATTCAGATTACAGATTATGATCCGGGAGAACACAATATATTGAAATGTTATTTGAAACAATTTGCCCTATAAGAATTAATTAGAATCTTGTAAAAATCTTGTGAATGCTAATATATTAGCACGGAATCAGTAATTTAGTAACAAAGATCAACATAATTAATAATCTCTATGCTAATTTGAGGTGTATATATCACATTAAAGTACATATATAACACTCATTTTTTGTCTTAAAAACTTTATTTTAATATTTTCTCTTCTTAACTCATTACCATAAATTTTAAGCAATATGTATATAATATATTTTTATTAATAGAAAAAAATTCCAAAATTTAAACTTCAAAATTTTCCAAACTACAAAATATATATTGATGTAACTAGTGGGTATTTAAACTTACATAGTTTCAAATAATATTCTGCAGTTAAATTCAATTGACCATTTAATTTTGCTTTCAACCAAAATAATTATATAATTCTGACTGATCTACAAAAAGATAATAGTATATAATTTATAGAAATTGCATGTAAAAATGTCTAAAAATGCTAAGGCTGCATAAAGTATAAAATAACTAAGATAAGTACATTTATCTCAATTATTAATTTCTTTAATAAAATTAATTAAATATAAAAATTAAAAATATTAATTGAAAGTTTTTTACTTACACTAAGCATCTTATTATTCCAGAGACAAATATCTTGCTGTTTTTCGTTCAGAAATTTCAAAGAATTGCAATTTTCTATAAAATTCCATGAGGATATTGAATTCTGAAACATTTCGCTTCTTCCTAGTCTCCTGAAATAAAGTAGAAAGAATATATTAATTTCATATTTAAAACATTTAAAAATTATTTATAATGAGATTTAATATCGTATCCTTTTATCATATTAGTGCAGTCTATTTTTTTCCCTAATTAATTTATTTGTTTTAAATAGTAAATTTTAACATAAAAAACAGAAAACAACTCACGTTTACACAATTATAAAAATCTTACGAATCAACTCCTTCAAGGCTTTTGGTAATATATTTTATTTAATTAAAAATAGTATAATTTATTCATATATTTAGTTTGTTTTATAACGATCAACACTTTTATATTGCTGCAGCAAATACTTAATTTGCTAAATTTTTATTCTTCATTATTCTTCATTTTTCGTAAATTTATTATAATTTTATTTTATAATTATAAAGGATGTTAGGTTAAGAATGTATTTTTTTATTATTACCAAATATTATACAAGCATATAGAATTCAAAACCTGTTATTCCTTCTATTCAGGTGTTAATTAAAACCATTTGAATATTTAAATATTTTAGACAAAAGAGACTGTCTTAGTAGCTTTTGATAATTGATAATACCCAAGAAAATTTCATTCAAGAGCTTCCCTGTAGTAATGACTCATAATGCATTCATTTGTAAAGAGAATAGCAGGGCTCTGGTTCTTAAAAAATTTAATAATTATAATAGAAATATTGACTTTTTGTACTTTTGTATTATGTAATAATTTATGTTACATTAATGCTTCAAGCAATTTATTGTTGTAAGTTTACTGCTTTTGTAGTAAACTTCAATGATTTTTTTTATATGAAAATCAACATCGAAACTTAAACCTTCCATTCTTTGTAAATAACTTAATTTGAAGTCTAGATTTATATTGTCATTTTTTTTAAAACCAGAAATTTGGAAAAAATTGATATAGTTAGTTTCTTGCCATATAATAAGCAGGAAAAATAACACAAATTCGCAAAGATTTTGTTAAAGAGCCTTGTATTTTGATGAAATAGATCTAAGTAAAAAAAAACACTTATTTTAGACGACAATTTAACCCTTTCCACTCTTGATTTTGCAAAATTTATATGAATTTTTCGGCATCCGAGTGAAAAGGGTTAAGTCAAATAGATGACATAGCAGATATAAATAGATTCAAGTAAAAATTTATCAATTTGCATTGATTTATATTGAATGAATAAAAAAGTATGTTTATGAATAAATATCAAAATTCTCAAAATAATATGGATAATAATAAGATACAAATAGCCCATAATTTAACAAGAGTAATTAATATTTTATTGACTATTTGGAAAGGCTCACAATTTTCATAACTAATATTTTTTTAGTACTATAAGAGGGTACTTTGTGTAGACGCATTAATTTTAGGTCATTTTTAAATCATTGTAAAAAAATGTAATAATTATTAATATTAATTAATAAAATAAATTTTTATACTATCATCTTTTTTATGATTTCTTTATCAACGTTATAAGAATATATAAAAAAATGAGTTAATAATTTTAAAATTGGCAGTGGTTGGAGTGGCGGGTCTCAGAAAATTGCCAAAAAAAAGATCATTGATCTAAAATGATGACGCAATGGCTTAAAATAATTTGAAAAATAAATTTGAAAATAAAGGATCAATTTTTTACCACTTTTTTGAATTACTCGTTTCTCTTAAAAACTAGGTACACAAAAAGTAATGTGATAAGACTTGTGTATTCCTGAGAGAAGTCTCTAAAGAAGATTCTACAAAAATTTCAAGTGAGTCGGTCCAGTAAAACTGGAGAAATCGTGGGTATCGCATTGAAAAAGTCAGTTTTGAGAAAAACGAAGATTATCATAGTCAGATAGCTGTATCTCCAGAAAAAATTCAAATTTAAAAAAATCCTTTTGTGTGCATTTTCTTAAATAGTTAAACTTTAAAAAAAAATATAAAAAAAAAACTATTTTTACTCTATGAAGAAGATTCTCCAAAAATTTCAAGTGAATCGGTCCGGTAAAACTCGAGAAATCGTGGGTATCGTATTGAAAAAGTCAGTTTTGAAAAAAACGAGTATTATTATAGTCAGACAGCTGTATCTCCAAAAATAATTCAAATTTTGAAAAATCTTCTCGTGTACATTTTCTTAAGTAATTAAACTTTGAAAAAATAAAAAAAACTATTTGTTTTAAATTTTCATACCCCCTTAAAGACGATTTTAACAACATAGTCATTTTAATGACATAGTCAGCATAGGTAAAAATAACTATAGTTATATAAATAGCATGCGATTTTTCCAGACTTTTTCCAGATTTTTGAATTAGAAGTTGCAGCTTTTAACGCCGATCTCCTCTATACGTAAACAGAATTTGTAATATAAACCAAATCTGGGAACAAAGAAATGCTTTGATCTTTCTAATAATCTTTCATCTTATATACAAAAGCATACACATTCTTAAATTATGTATATGTATATATGTTGTTATATTATATATATGTATATTATATATATATATATATATATATAAGTGAGATATGAGAAATGTATATATTTGTTTATACGAAGCAACTAAACCAAACTAAACAAACTAGACGTTTTCTAAGAACTCTGGCAAATACCTTCACAAAAACACCTACACACACAAAATTATATTATAATGAATATATGTAAGTATTCCTGTGTTCTTTTGCCGGCATATTACAAAAACAAATAACTTCTTTTTTCTAAAGTATTACTTTCCCATTTTGTATTGTATGAATACATACTTGCAGGCACACTTAGCTTTCAAGTCTTCATAAAACTGCATATGTAAAAGTGCAGTGAGGATCTTCTTAAATATTTATTTGATAAAATTTAAACTTTGCTGTTATTTAATACGGAATAATTCGTTAAGAATAAAGTTGATTTTTGGCTGTTAATTTTCTTTTTTCTCTTTAAAAATAATTAGTATACAATAATTAAATTATAGTACAGTTCTTCAAACGGTGCACTATGGCGTTCGTAAATTAGTTCTGATAATTGATTAATATTTCTTTATTTGGAAACTTAATCATAATGTTTACTTTTTTCTAAAATCAAATATTATAATAAAACCACCCAAACTACTCAATGAAATAGTTTAACCCTTTTCACTCGGATGCCGCCACTCCGGCGACATATTAATTCTGCACTTCGCGAGTGGAAAGCGCTTTTTTATATCCCTACGCTCCGTCAAATTAAAACAACTAGTTTTAAGTAGTATTAAATAAATATACTTTTATAGAGAATATATACAAATGAATTTGCACTCTTATATATTTTTAATAATTATTACTATTAAACACTCAAATTATAATACTGTAAAACAAATGTTGCAGCCTAGCGCGTAAATTACTTTTTTGATATTTTATTACTATTCTTAAGGTGACTCATTTAATATTTTTATTACTCATTTTTAATATGTTATAAAACCACAGACAAAATATAATGTTTATATCAAATATTATAAGAAAAAAAGTCTACTAAAAAACTCGAGTAAATACATGGAACGTTAAGTTTAATAAACGTTAAGTTAGTTCAAAAAATTGTATACAGAGAATGTAAACGAACGAATCAACTACAAATTAAAATTTTAATATATAAGTTTGTTTTACAAATTAGTTCTATCAAAACATATATATTGCATATATTTTACCAATACTATCTGGATTAAATGAAAAAAAAAGGTTTGCAGTCGTTTTTGAGAAACGTCGACAATAAGTCAAATTTTGACTCACAAACGATTCGGAATGATGTGATATGTTGAGGAACCATAAAATTAGCAAATCGTATTAACAGGAACCTTCTTTTTCAATTTTCACAGACTGATATACGGATAAAAAACATGAAATATAGGGTTTAGATAGGTTAAATAAAAGTGATAATCAGCATAAAAATGATAATGGGTTAAAGTTGCTTAGTTTTGCCAAAAATTACAAATTACGCAGTGCAATTTTGAAAAATAAACAAAGCGTGAGGTCTGCAAACGTTTGCGAATAAGTGGGAAGTAGAAAATCATGGAAAATATTTTCTGTTTGTGCTGCCCTTAGCTAGTATAATCACTTTTAATTAGTCTTTGTTAACAAAAATTAGTCAGTGATATATTTTTATTCTGTCATGTAGGCAGTATAAAAATATATCACCTTATTTACTGAAACACGAAGTATCCTTCAAGTTAACTCTCTATTTCCTCATCTATATTTCCATATATTATTACTATATATTGTAAATAGCAATCGCATTTCGAAATTTACACTATTTTAAAATAGATGAAGTAGAATTACAATGTAAAACACTAAGGTCATTACTACAATATCAACAATTGAAAAGAATAAGATGAAATCAAGTACACTTTTGCGAATGAAACATCACTGCCAATGCAAATAATTGCATAAAGCGTTGAAGATAAACAACTCAAGAATAAACTTATAAATTAACATATATTCATATGAAATCTATATATATGTATATATATATATATATATATATATATATATATATATATATATATATATATACAGTACAGGCCAAAAGTTTCCGGACACATGAAAAAATCTCATTTTTTGAGTTTTGAGCTATATTTTTCATATAAAAATAATTTTATTCAAGTTAGTTTTGTACATTCTACGTAGTATTAATATTTAGTGACTGATTTGTAACCAATTTGTGAGAAATGATGGACTAATTAGCAATGAAAATGTTAAAATGTAACAGTCGATTTTCCTGAATATGATCACCCTTTGCTTTGATCACTGCAGCGCATATTTTTGGTAATCTTTTGACGAGTTTTTGCAATGTTTGCGCAGGTATGTTCTTCCAGGACTTGTTAAGGCAATTCCACAGGGCAGCAAGGCTGGTTGGATGCAAATCCTTCACGAGGCATTTAAGCTCATCCCACAACAGCTCTATTGGATTAAGATCCAGCGATTGTGCAGGACACTCAAAAAACCACTTCTGCGAACAGTAAATAAACAAAAGAGATTGCAATTTGCCAAAACCCGCTTAAATTGGACCATTGATCAA